TACTTTGTATAGAAAAATAAAAAATTTTATTTTTATTTTTAACACTAATAATACATGCGTGATTTTAATTTGAGGATTTATAAAATTAAAATGAATTTTTATTTTTTCAAGTAATTTTAATTGTATATGGGTGTTCATTTAATTAAATTAAATTTTGGAAGTGTTTATTTATTAAAAATATTAATATTTAATAATAAATTAAATTTTTTTAGGAATTATAAATTTTAAATTATAATATTGATTATTATAAATTAAAATTAGAATCTTAATAAATGTAAATTGAAATTTCATCTTGGTTAATTATTATATTTGACAAAAAAAATTTGAACTTCAAAAACAAAATGTTGTAAAAAATAAAAATATATATACACCATATTTAACATATTTCAAAAGTTTAAGAGGCAGTTTGTCAAAGGTTAGAAAGAATTCCATTAGTCAATTAATAATGTTTGTCAAGTAGATCATTTTAAAACAAAATTGATAATTTATAGATCATTTTGAAAGAAAAAATTATTTTTAGATTAAACTGAAATAAATCATATAATTAATAAATTATTTGTTAAATTTAACCTAAAAGGAGAGGATATTCGTTATTACTTTTTAGTTTGACCAATGAAAGACCGGCCAGTGAAAGGAAATTGAAAAGTAGGGATATTCACATTTAGCATTTCACAGATCCAATACCCAGCAGAAAGTATCTTTCGATTCTTTTTAAGATTTGTTTAATATTTGCCATTAGAGACACACCAAAATATATGATAATTGTTTTTTTTATAATTAATTTATAATAAAATAATAATTAATTTTAATTTTATAAATTATTATTAAAATTATTTATGTAATACTAATGTTAAAAGTAATATCTATTTATGGTATTATTTATAAACGATTATTACCAAATTATTAATTTATATTTTAAAGACACTAATTAAAAAACTTTCCTTTTTACTTAGGGTATGTTTAGTATAACGGTTAAAATTCAACGAATAATAAATAATGGGTAGTGAATAGCGAATAATAGTAGCAAGTGGCGATTAACGGATAGCGGATAACGGATAACAGATGATAAATAATAAATAGCGAAAAGTAAGTAACGGATAATAGACAACAAAAAATGAGAAGGAAAAACTAGGGATTTGTGTTATAATGATGATATATTTATAGTGGTTTAATTGTAAATTTTTTAAAACATGAGAATAAAATAGGACTAACAAACAAATTTCATTAAACACCAGCAAAAGCTCTCACAAAAGCATGAATTTCTTGCTTCTCCGATTTTTAAAGGCCAGGAGACAAGACGAGCTTCTCAACAATTGAAGCAAAAACTAAAAGTTCAAAGTTATAGTGTTTGGCATGCTTGAATTTTTATGACTAAATTCAATAAATAGTCCATTAATTGTGTGATTTAGTGTCCGTTTGGTGTGA